CATTTTAAAAAGTTCAGTTACTCATATTTTCACCTGTAAGTGTTTTTCTATATTTTCTTTCCTGTATCCTGCATGGCAGAAGAGACTTGGCATGAGCACTTGGGTTTCGTTACAAAAGTTTACAGTAAATTAAAGACTTAAAGTCAATCATGACATCATGCTACTGATGGCAGGAAGTGTCCAGCACACTAGCATCCCTATGTTATGTTCCTCTCACGCTTTCATAAATGGAAGCACATAGGTATCAGAGGTGGCCACTTCACACTCACCTGGTTCACTTCAGGATCTTATTAATTTAGAAATTAATATATAGATAATGATGTATATACTTTATACATGAGACAACAGAAAAATATCTGTCTTCAATCCTTGGATAGACAATGACCAAAGACATAACTGAGGACCGATATCTTTTTTGCAAGAGTTTCCATAATGGTGTACCAAAAAAAAAATGCAGATTTCAATTGAAAAGCTTTAAAGTAGATATAATTATGTTTTCTAAGAATATGTATGTATTGTAACCTCCTTCCTTCTTGAATGTATTATCCTTCTCTTTTCTAATTCAAATTATCCAAAAATAAACCACACTTCAGTTCATGACTGAAGATAGCAATTGAACTAAAGTAAATGCAGGTGAACACCATTATTCAAAGGGTACTATGTGATTGCACCTCTCAGCTGGTGAGATGACTGTTTGCATGTTTTAACCAGAATCCAGACTGGAACAAATGTGGTGAAAGTCAACACGAGCTCATCTCTGTGGAAACTGGCAAAGTAGCAGATGTTGCTACTGGAAATAGCTAGAACTTCTGTGTCTTCAGATGAAAAACATTTTGTAAAAAAAAAAAAAAAAAGATTTGTTCCATGCATTGATTCACAGATTAAAGGGGTATATTTTATTGTTTAATTTACTCTACTCCAGAAGCAGTGTGTCTATTTGAAATGGCAGAGGCAACGCAGAATAACCTCTTTGACATTTCTAGTTCCTAATTATGTATTTACCCTACCCTAAGGTCATGTCTTCAGCCTAATTCAATGTTCCTTAGAAGAACACATTATGGTTTCTTTTTAAGTGAAAATGGCAAATTTGGTATTATTACATGCTCTTGATTAAACAAAGTCAGCAATTTTCTATTGTTTCTCCTGGCAAAGGTGGGGTCTGAGTTCCTTGCACAATGTGGGCATGACTTCCTTAAAAATGACATGACTATCGAACTTAACGTCAAGACTTGGTTGGGAGTAGAGTCTGACGTGAGAAAAGGGCGTAGGAAAGAACATTCTTGCACAATGGTGGCCATATTTTGTCAATATGCCCTCAACAAAAGACACATAAGAAAACAAACAGAAAAGAAGGGTTACAATGCGGACAGCCGTCAGATGACTCAGTGTTCTCTTACTGTTGGAAATAACAAATCTCATGGCTTAAATTTACTTTAAGACAGTGCACACCAGCGAAATAATATGACAAAATTACAAAGTTGATTCACATTCAGAATGCTGACTCATCCTGACCATGCGGCCTCCGCAGAACTGTTTATGATGAAATTACAATGGAGTAAGATTTATTTCTTTGCTTTTGTGTGTATGATTTTTTAAGATTATTTTAATATTTTTATTATGTGTGAATGCACTGCCTACATGCATGTAAGTGTACTTGTGTCATGCAGTGTTCGTGGAAGTCAGAAGAGAGCATCAAATCCCCCCTGAAACTGTGGTTAGGGATGGTGTTGGCAGCCATTGGGTACTGGGAACTGAACTTGTGTCCTCTGCAAGTGCAGCCAGTGCTCTTAACTGCTGAGTTGTCTGTCCAGCTCCTCTTAGCTGGATTTTTAAATTAAAATGAGAGTATAAGGGAAGCACTACCATTTAACCATAAATACATTTATGATAGCTTTGTTCAGTTTAAATTATACAGAGAGAACTTAAGACTTTATAATGATTGCTTTGAAAGAACATTAAAGAACATGTCTATATTATTTGTTGTAACATTTAGTATTTTAGTAAAAAAGAACACAGAATATTTTATTTCTTATGAGTTGTATTAGTTGTCTTCAAATTTTCCCAAATAAAAACAAGTAAATGTATCAGGAAATTCGTTTCTTTATCTTTTCTGATGAAATGACTAGCATTCTCTTACAAACTGTTCAGTAAGAGTGAAAAAAAAAATTGAAACAATATTCTGTTAATATCTATAAAAACCTAGAATTATCTACTTAAAATAACTTTACATATGCATATATAGGGTACTGTTCCTGACATAACTTTGATTAGAATCAGTGATTTTGTTATTACCAGCCAGGTACCACAGCAGGTTTAAAGCCACGATTGTTGGATTTAGGCTCTTTTAAAAAAACATTTTATTTATTATTTTTATTTTATGTGTATGAGTATATTGCCTGCATGATATAAGTGCACCCATGGTGTGCAATGCCCATGGAGGTCAGAAGAGGATGTCTAACCCCTGGAACTAGAGTTATAGAAAGTTGTTAGCTGTCATGTTTATGCTAGGAATTGGACCTGGGTCCCTGCAAGAGCAGCCAGTACTCTTAACTGCTGAGTCATCTCTCCAGCTCCAGATTTAGGCTCTTTTATATGTTTATTTTAATTTTATATGTATGAATATTTTGCCTGCATGGATATAAGTGCACCCATGTCATACAATGTCTAAGGAGGCCAGAAGAGGGCATCTGATCCCTTTTAACTGCAGTTATGAACAGTTGTTAGCTCCTTGTAGGTGCTAGGAATTGACTGGAACCTGGGTCCTCTGAAAGAATAGCTAATGATCCTAAACATTGAGCCATCTCTCCAGCCCTGGATTTGGTTCTTAACTGAAATAGTAGTTGTATTGTGGGGGTAGGGGAAAAAGGAGAGAGAAAGAGAGCCAGGGGAGGGGGGGGATGCTGAAATTTATCTTTGTATGTTGCTTGATCTCCGTGCAAAAAAGGTCAAGAGGAACTAGAGAGGTGGTTCGGTGGTTAAAAGCACTGGCTGTTCTTGCAGAATGTGGGTTCAAATCCCAACACCCACATGGTGGTTAATAACTGTCCTTAACTCTAGTCCCAGGGGATTTGATGTTCTCTCCTGACCTCTGTGGCCATTGCAGATGGGTGCACTTAAATACATGCAGGCAGTACACTCATACACATGAAATAAAAATAATAAAGAATAAAAAAATGTGAAGAAACAACATCTCTGGACACTCAAATTCTTATCTTTTATTTTATTAAAATATTTTTTTTATGTGTATGAGTGTATTGCCTGCATGTATGTGAGTACACCTGTGTAGTGCAATGCCTGCAGAGGACAGAAGAGGCTGTCGGATCTCCTGGAACTGGAGTTAGGGACAGTTGTTAGCTGCCATGTCAGTGCTGGGATTCGAACACAGGTCTTCTGCAAGAACAACCAGTGTTCTTAACCGCTGTGCCATCTCTCCAGCCCTGAATCCTTATCTTTGTATTAGGCAGAAGTTATCTTTTTAACAGGACTATGCTGAGAATAAGGTAGAAAAGAAAGAGCACCTAGCACAGTGAATACCATGAGACATTTATTTTCTTCATTAAAATAATTCAATCCCTCATGAAACATGGCAGGTAATGATAGCTATGAATTCTCTGGTTATATATAGCCAATAGTGTTCATTTGGAAAGAGTTCGAACACATTCAATGAAGAATTTCATTTGTGGCTTTTTAAATGGCATGCTTTAGCCATAATTCTCTGTAAGTATTGTATGTGTGATTATTATTTAGTTAGCAAAAAGGCAAAATATTCCTTTATTCAAACTATACTGGGCTTTAAAACAACAGATACCACCTACGTGATGGGCAGCATTGAAATGAAGGAAACAAGACTGATGTTGTTTGTTTAGATTTCACGTAATTTTGAAGAGACGATGATTGATTCTATAGTTTTGCATATTGAAATGTAAATTACTATAGTCCATCTTAAACCTACAATAGAGGTTTGATGCAAAGGTGGAAGAAAACTGAGTTTTATTGCTCACAGAAAAGAATACTGTGACTGAAACTTGATGTATGCTTTTAATTTTTCATTTCATTTCAAGGAATGAATATTCAGAGGTTGACTTATGAGAGAGTAAGTCAATCTAAATAAGTGGTTTTTGAAGAGAACAAAATTGAGAAGACCAAAGCACCATGAGGCAAATGCTAGTCAAGGAACATAGCATAGAAGTGGCACAGTTTTACTGCTGTTATCTACTTCCAGAAATTCTCAGAGCAGAAATGGAAATTGTCATACCACAAGGCAGATGCAGATTAGCACATTTCCAGTCATATTTCCTACAATCAGCAAAAGTTCACCTTGATTTTTTAGGTCCAAGGGAACAGAACCACAGCAATGACATGTCATTATCCAGGGCAGAAATGACTTTTCATTTTTTTTATTTAGAAAATACTTGGAAAGACATCTATGGAGTCTTCTTGCCTCCCCTTGCTTATTATCACTAGGGAAAGAGGAAAAATATAAACTCTAATTAATTACTTATGCAATAATTTGATGGTGGACCATAGTTCACTATATGTGATTTTTATTTCATGCTCAAGGCATGAGGCTTTGGCATGCTCCGTACTTTACGTAAGAGGCAAGTGGTTTTCAGTTGCATAACTCTCGACTTCACAGTTTGGATTCGATGTCAGATTTATCTCACATATCACACTGCTTCTTAAATGATGGTAAGGATTACATACTTTCTCCTCTAACATCTTCATGTAGACATGTGTTTTCAAGTTATTCTATGCACTTTTACTTTTGGTTTGCAGATGTTGAACAATGAATCGTGTGAATCTGAGCAGTACCAATACCTTGTGAGAAAGCATGTGGAGAAAGCATGTGTAGCACAGCTTTAACATGCAGCACACAGTAACACCTCTGAACAGTTATACTATTTCGTCTACTCATAAATCAGTGAGCAGAATAGTCTTTACTGGCTTTTCATGTGCCTCCATCATGTATTATTTATCAAAGGTTTTCTTTCTGCTTGTAGGGATGACTTGTCAAGCTCGAACATCATATACTGAAGATGAAGTTCTTTGGGGTCATCGTTTTTTCCCTGTAATTTCTTTAGAGGAAGGATTCTTTAAAGTTGATTACTCTCAGTTCCACGCAACATTTGAAGTCCCCACCCCTCCATACAGTGTGAAAGAGCAGGAGGAAATGCTCCTCATGTCCTCTCCTTTAATAGCACCAGCCATAACCAACAGCAAAGAGAGACACAATTCTGTGGAGTGCTTAGATGGACTAGAAGACATTAGCACAAAACTTCCATCTAAGCTGCAGAAAATCACTGGAAGAGAAGACTTTCCCAAAAAACTCTTGAGGATGAGTTCTACGACTTCAGAAAAAGCCTATAGCTTGGGCGATTTGCCCATGAAACTTCAACGAATAAGTTCAGTTCCTGGCAACTCTGAAGAAAAACTGGTATCTAAAACCACCAAGATGTTATCTGATCCCATGAGCCAGTCTGTGGCCGATTTGCCACCAAAGCTTCAAAAAATAGCTGGAGGACCTGCCAGGATGGAAGGGAATCTTCCAGCCAAATTACGAAAAATGAACTCCGACCGCTTCACATAACAAAGCACCCCATTAGGCATTAATTAATGTTTTGATTTAGTATTAGTCCAATATTTTGCTGATGAGATAATCCTCCTTATGAAATCTGAAAGTTATATCCCCCCAGTCCAACAGCATATTTGAGAACTCTTCACTGGCAAGTATTGTTACCGTTCAGAACAGAAAATTTATGAAGGGAAGACATCATAAGGAAGTTAACAATGGGCATGTATTATCACATCAAGCATGCAACAATGTGCAAATTTTGCATTTAGTTTTATGGCATGATTTATATATGGCATATTTATATTGTATATTCTGGAAAATATATAAATATATATTTGAAGTGGAGATATTCTCCCTATCATTTCTAATATATATATTAAGCCAAACACGAGTGGATAGCTTTCAGGGCGCTAAAACTACACACATACATACATACATACACACACACCCTCATACACACACACACACACACACACACACACACACACACCCCCACACACACACACACACACACACACACACACACACACATGCACACACACACATATATATGAAACATATACATAAAACGTACATATACATCTGATAAAAATTGTGATGTTTTGTTCAAATTTGTAGTTCTTGTGCATGTTTACTTTATTAGGCTAGGAAGGCTGCTGGCATTGATTATTAATACCAAATATTTTAGCCTTAAATTATTTGTCATTTAAAAATCTGATTTAATGTTTTCTGCTGTTAAGGTCATGGAAGGTTTCAACTGTACTTTATCATAAAAGAGTTACAGAAGTTCATGGTATTTGTGGCACTGCAGAGGTATCATCAATGTGTATTTAATTTGTAAATTTTAGAGAATTCCAGTACATGTTATACATACATCATTGGACTTTTCTTATGATTTTTAAAGTTGCTAGAACTGGGGGAGGGATGGTAAATAAAAGTTTATTAATTTAATGATTACTCTTTTCTTAGGTGAACTAATATCTAGAAGTTGATTTTGTATACAATCTAATAAATTATGGGCTCTGAATAAATGGTGAACCACTGGAATAATCAGTAGCCAGGTCACATTTGAATATGTCAGAATCTGTGTGAAATTTATAGGGTAAATGGTCCTTGTTTTAAAATGAATAGATTGCAATATTTTCTTTTTTCTGTGACTTCTGTCCACTGTAAAATCTAATAATTTATCTTTCAGGAGACATGACAGCACAATGAAGCAGATGATAAATAGATATGCTCAAAATATGTATGTCTGAGTCTCTTTCTATGCTGCTCTCTTGTTTATGAGTTTGTTGTGAAAGGATAGATTTCTTCCTCACTGGGGAACTTATCCCAGGCCTGTCGTTCATGATTCATTACAGACCTGAGAGAAATTAAAATCAGATGAGTTGACAGTATTTTGCAATCAGGAATTTTTGGGTTTTTTATTTTTTATTTTTTTTTTGATGTTGAAAACTTGTTTAATTGATGCCTTGGATCCCTGGCCTCCTCAAATAAATTTCGCAGTAATATTTTTCTAATCCCAACATTTGGTATTCATGGCTCTCAGACTGGAGTCAAACCTTGATCAGAAGTACACCTTCAACAAAAGGCTGAGAATGCACAGATGTTTTTTAAATCTAGAACTTCTTCTATCAAAACATCATAGGTTTTCCTATAAACTTTTTGGAGGGAGGCGGATAATTGCAATCTAAGTTTGGCCAGAGTTAACTCACTTATTATTACATAAATTACTGAAGGTTGGCTTGGGTGCACAGCATTCCTTAATTTCCTTTTTAGCAATTCTGTGATGATTTTTCTTAGAGGCAAATTATTACATCAACACTCTATCATCCACTATAATAAACTATCTTCTGGCTACCTCTGTATCAACCAAATCTGTAGGTGCAAACATATACCAGGGAACAGGTACTGGAAAAATGATCAACTTTGGCATCTCTCCACTGTGCACAAAGCAGTCGCCCCTTGATCACCAAATGTTCTTAACTATCAGATGAAGGACTAGAAATAGTAGCAGACAGAGAAAGGGGACAGAAGGTGTGGTGTATTTCTTAACAGTGGAAGAAACTGCATAGATCATTTAATCCAACACCTTAAACCTATATAGAGCCATAATCTTCTTTGGAGAGTCATTTTAATTTGTTTTTGGTAGTATGAAGAAGAACCAAAAACAGACTCTCTAAATGTATTCATTTATTCAGCAAAATTTTTGCATGCCTTCTATGTCCTAGGTGTTTTTTTTTTAATTTTTTTATTTTTCAGTTTAGTTCCTGGGAATTTAAATATGACTAAGTTAGAGGTAACTACTTAAACTGAACAATGTACATCAACAGCAGAGAGTGGGGGAGACAGGAAAAAAAAACCACAAATGAGACAGTATCCATTTCAGTTAAGAGAATGGAAACAAGGTAACAATTAAAAATTGATGTCTGGGTAAAATGAATTGTATTAGAGAAAGAGGCACTCAGGATATTGGTTAGCATTAGGTCTGAGAGCTAAGCCTTAGGGAAGAGGCACTGTTGCCAAAACAATTCAAGAGAATGGTAGACTTTTATTTTTTCCCACATACATGTGGGAACAGTGTATTTTCTGCATGTACCTGCAGTTTAGTCCCTACTTCCAGGTTGATCATAGGACCCGGTCGTCCCAGGAAAATTGCAGTTTATACCTGTTGTACTTGTGTAATTATTAGTAGCCCTCTCTTTGAGTCCTATAATGTCCTGGTTTGGATGATATATGGTAAAGTTTTGTTGAAACTAACAAAACTATGAAGTCTAATATATTTGGAAAAAATAAAGAATTGATTTTCTTCTTTTCCTGATCTTCTTTTTGTTACAGAACATTTTGAATAAAATCATCTCAATATCACATCTTTCAGATGTAAGAACTTATTAAATTCTCTCACACTTCAAAAGAATTTATGCATTTTATTGCATGAATAAAAAATTTAAAAAAAACCTAACAGTCTCATTTCAGAAAGTTATAAGAACTAAAATAAAACTATTAATGTCAGTTTAAGTCAATATAATTGTCAGATCACCAGTATTGCGGCAATTGGGAAACAAAACAACTGTAATCATTGAGGGGGACAACTCTGCCTAATAGCTGGACACCGGTATAGGATTTCATGGTACAGCTCTTACTGTAATAAAATATCTCAGTCTTTATCAAGATTTAAAGAAATCAATTATTTTGGTAATACTTCAATTTTAAAATGTATTATTTTCAAATATGTGAACATGCTTTGTACATATATACAAATGAATCTAAGGGTTTTTATCATGAATTTTCATGAAAACTTTCTTATACAATTTTCAGTTCATCCATATTGTTTTAAAATATTATCAAAAGTATTTTAGATATTATCAAAAGTACTGAAAGGCCCTTTCATCTGGATAGGAGGAGTTCATTGTTTCCAGTGGACATGGACTCAAGGAGCAACTGATTTATTCTATTTGCATTATAAAATTTCTTGTCATTCCCTACTGTGAAGACAGTAAAGCTTTACTGCACAGTATGTCTGTGAGCTCTACTGTACAATTTATGCTGGAGTACATTGTGCATATTTAAATTAGCGTGGAATGAATTGTCTTTTCTGGCATGCAACTTATAATTATTTAAAAATACAGTGATATTTGGTTTACAAAAATACAAGCTGTAGTATTGTTTCATAAAAACTACACTGAGCTGGGCATGGTGGCACACGCCTTTAATCCCAGCACTCGGGAGGCAGAGGCAGGCAGATCATTGTGAGTTCAAGGGCAGCCTGGTCTACATAGTGAGTTTAGATCAGCTGGGACTACAGGGAGACCCTGTCTCAAAAAGACAAAACAAAAACAAAACAAAAAACAAAACAAAACAAAACAAAAAACCCACATTGAACCTTTGAAACATGATTGGATTTAATTTTAAATTGCTCCTACCACATCACCACTTCCCTATAGTCAGTGAATCACATTCCTGATAGCATTTATGATAAGATTCTTACTTCCGAAAGATAATGATTTCATCTACCACAAGGTGTTGTTTATAAATCACCTCTTTCAACAACATGAATCCTGAACCTAATAATATTGAACCTGAGACCTGTGTTTTTTGGAAGAAGCCTCAAGAATAATTCATCCCATACTGAATAAGTGTTTTAAAAGCCATGGTAAGTAAAGCAGGGAAAGTACAGTTGGCTTCATTTGTCTAAATACCAAATAATCTTTCAATAACTATTCAAATGTCTCACTTGAAAGTGTTTCATAGAAATAAATAAGTTCCTAGCCTGAAATCACAGGAATTCTATGATATATAATATTCTGTAGTCTTAGGGTCATCACAGAATTAATTTAAATAATAAACTTAAAAACTGAAATTGTTTCAATTTCTGGTCTCACACTTTCAGTAAGAATGATTTTAGGTAAATCAGATCATTGTTTCTGTTTTTCCACATTTTCATTTTTGCACCTGTAAAGTTTGCCTTTTTTCTTTCTTTCTTTCTGTTATCTTGTGATATGCCCATTTTTGAAAAGCCTGGCCTCAAACTTAACAATCCTCCTTCCTCAGCCTTCTGCATGCTGATATTACAGGTGTGTACCACAGCACCCATTTCAAATAAACTTCATACCTTTCTTCTCTTCCCTCCCTGCACTTCCCCACTTTCCCCTCTGGTATTCCTCCACTTCCTCCTCCTTTCCCTCTCTTCTGTGCTTTCCCTTCCCCCCATCACTTCCTTCACGCATTCATTTTTCCCATCCTTCCTTTTCCATTGTGCCTGGGACGGATCTCATCCGAAGGATTTGGCATAGTAGGTGAGTACTCTATCACTCGGCTACCTCACCTGTCAACTTCTCTGAAATAATAGCTGTTTCAAAGAAAATGTAGATGTTGTATTACCCCTTGATTCTAAAGGGAAAAACATGGTAGGACCAAATACATTCTCATTTCTTTGACAACAAAAACAAGGACAGAGAAAACATCTGTGGTCCTGCATAGTTTTTTCCAGCAATGAATGTGTCAGATATTTTGATGACGATTATGAACATCATTTGAAACCTTGGATCAGGTTGGTATGGTAGAAATGTCCTCACTAAATTTATGCTTGAAGCTGGTTCTCAGAGAGGCTGTTTAATGGGTTTTTAAATTAAATACGAGGTGTAGTTTCTTGCTCCAAGGGAGTATAAAGTCTATAGAGAACCTTTTCATTTAAACACCTGAATGCCCCAGACCATTGCTATGCATGAACATACATATTCAATGACTGTTTCCAATTATTTCAAAGTTTCTGGATGTCTATGCAATGGGGCTTCTGCTACTCATCCCTGTGATTTGGAGAATAGGTAAGTGGCAGGTGACAGGAGCATCAACAATAGATGTGGCCAGGATTATATGATGCTAAAAACAAAGCTAGAAATATGAATAAAATGAAGGAAATGTGGAGGAAGGTAAAAATCTTTATATGGTTCATAGAGAATTGTATAAAAGGGGAAAGGTA